ATTCCTCGAAAAGTCTTTAGAACCATTTATGAAACCTTTCTGAGGCTTTTCAGACTTTCGGGAAAATCTGGAAAATGGTCGTATCTGGACATTTTGTGAAATGGCCAAAAAAGTGTTCAAAAATTCTGGTAAAATTCCTGCGCATTCCTCGAATGAGTACAAACAATTTTTTCCAATACCATCCTAATGTTGAGTAAAACGCGCTTCCTGTTATTAGAAAATGTTTGGATGATTATGACCATTTCAAGGGTATTGGAAAATTTTGGACGGTATTCCAAGTACAGAGTGTTTTAGGTTCTTTGAAGACGAACACTTTCCCATAAAAAAGTTTGGTAAAATTTCAATCTCGCGTACCGTAGGATCACTTTCGTGCGGAAAATCTACGTTTTTGCATCAAACCCAATTTTTGGATCAGAATTCCGGAAAATGAAGATGTAAAACGAAAATCGAAAATGAGGGATCGATAGGCAATTTCAAGACGAACATTAAAAAAAAATTCACCTCAGACACTACAACCCCATAAGGTGTAGAGTAATTTGGGCACAGTGGCACTAAAACTACATGGTGGGATGAACGTCCACTTCTTTTGTTAAAATCTAACCACATTTTACACTGGGTCAGTCACCGAATTTCGGTTTGATTTTTTAATTTTCAATTATCTAAGTTGCAAGCTATGGTGGAGACTTGGGTCTGGTCTGTTGCTGTCTCTTATTAATTTAGTTTACTTTTCATGTGTCTTCTAAAGTTTTTTTGAAGAGTAAGTGTACAAAGTTTTTTTATTCTATTTTTTAGTAATGGTAAGAGTTTATTGTATTGTAACAGATCCGTTTTTCTCTTACAAAGTCTTTGATGATGGCTTAAGAGGCCGAAAGCGCTCAGACGAATTATTTTATGGTGTTTTATTAAATAAAACTCAATATTTACACACTTTAAATACCCTCTCGCTTCATTTCTTATTATTTCTATGTTATGGGTATTCAAATTTAAAATATTGATTTGTTCGAGCAGTAGTGTGACCCCGAGTGTTATCTTGATAATCAAGATGATCCTTCCTTTGGGTGTTTTTCGCAATCCATTTGAAGAACCTACCGAGTGCTGAGGCAAACAAGCTGTAGTGTTCCATTCTGAATTAACAGTACGTCTATCCTAAGTGGAAACATGTCCAATCATTCCCAAAAAATGTGGCGGCCTTCTTTTTGTTTCGGCTTTTTTCAAGAAAAACTTTCGTTGGAGCCGACTCATTCTCAAATATCCAAATTGACGATTGTTGCTTTTTTTTTCGGGATCATAACAGTATATCCATGTTTTGTCACATGTGATGATGTTGTACACCAAATTAGACGATCCACGATCAAAGCAATCTACTGTAGATCTGAACCTTCTCACATGGTCTTCTTTTTGAGCTAAAGTCAAGTTGTGGGGAATTCACCGAGACCAAAACTTACGAACTTTCAAATAGTGTTGCTTTCACTCCAATCTTTATAAAGTTTTTTGAATGTTTCTGACAGTAATGTGTGCCGGTCCTCTTTAATTATGTTCCGAATAAGATCAATATTTTTTCTGTAACCGCCGTTTTTGGTTTAGGAGCTCCAAAACTGGCATTTAAGGAAAATCGACCATGGTTGAAATTGATTGTACCACCCAAGGAACACGACTTGTCACCAAGCACTCGATTGATTTATTCAAAACATTCTTTACGGGATAAGCCACGCTTGAAGTTTTAAAAAAATTATAGCCCGATAATGCTCCTTGTTCATTTCCATCATTGTTGGCGAGAGGATTACTTTAAACTTATGTAACTTAGAAACAATCAGCAGGGGGGGATAATGGGGGTAATTACCCTCCCTCCCTCCCTCCCTCCCCAAGAATGTTTAAACCTAACTTTTCACAGATACTAAAAATGTATTGCACAAACTATTGAAAGACCAATTGCAGTATTTTTTGTTCAATCTGGCAGAAGCGCTTTTTTACTTTCGTCGGCTGTCCGCCACTCAAAGCGCCTAACTTAGGTTCCCACTCTACGTTGTACGTGCTTGTATCTCAGAATCTCACTCTTTCTTCGTCTAATATTGCTTATATAATTTTGTTTTTATTTTGATTTCTACTGGATACTGGATCACCAAAGTGATAGTGATACTAAAGTGATACACTGTGTTCATGTAAGGGTTTTACTTTACAGGTATTTTTATGAAGTTTAGTGATTTAGATTTAAGTTTATGTGGTTCTAATATCTAAAATTTACCATTGTTGCAAATTATTTTTGTTCTTGCACTTGCAGATACTAAACACAACAGAAAGTAACAATGAGTAAGAGAAAATAGAATACCTTAGATAATTATTTGTTAAAACCAAAACAAAATAGGGGAATAATAACCTCGGAAGTCGTGAGTTTATCACAAATCCTTCGAGTTCGAGTATGGGTAAACAAACCGCCGAAACTAGCGCCGGTAACAGCAGTGACCACAGCGTTGCCACATTTAATATTTTACATGGTTATAAAAAATCGATAGACATTGCCCCTTTTGTCAATAAAATAATTACATTGCGGGAAAAATATTCGGTTTTAATGTACTCTATGGTTCCGGAACAAAATTTTACGTACCCGTTTTCAATTCACAGAAAAAATGATAAAGATATTAAATTATTTTTATCAAAACGACATTTTAACACTTTTTCTTGGCTAACATATTCGCAAGGTCTAGAGGGTATATTTTGTAAATTTTGCGTTATTTTTTCAAAAGTGGGTGGTGTACATCAGTCAACTAAGTTGGGACGTCTTGTCACAAAAATGTTATTACCATTTTAAAAGAAAGACGTCGAAATTCCGAAACTTATTTTAGGACCATTTTTACTTTAGTGTCAGATATTCATAAAAAATTAGATTTAGAAATTATCAAACCAAGAGTTACTCAGAGGTAAACGCATCGCCCCAATATATCTGCAGAAAATAACGAATCTTATTTTAGACTTAGCATCTATATTCCTTTGTTAGATAATGTATTGCAAGATCTCTAATTTCGTTTTAACGAGGAATCTTTGAATACCTACGAGTTCAATGTATATTTTCCTTCCATTTTCAATTCAAAAACGGATACTGAAATTAGTCAGTCGATTGAAGTAGTTACAGAATATATAAGCAATTTTGAAAATAACCAAAACAGAGATTTAATACTTTTAAAATTAAAATCTGAATTCAGTATTTGGAAAAGCGTAAAAAAAGCGATACAGATGGTATCGGTTTATATTCGTCTTGCGATGAAAATATATTTGCTTTATTAAAAAAATGCCTACAAGTTTTGGTCACTCTACCCGTTAGTGTAGCTTCAGCTGAAAGAAGCTTCTCTCTGCGGCGCCTTAAAACCTGGCTTCGTTCAACAATGGGTCAGGATCGTTAGTTGGACTATCACTTCTGTTTATACACAGAGACATTCAAGTAAATGTAGACCATATTATAAATAGATTTGCAAATAATAAAAATAGACGACTTGATTTTACGTTATAATTTTTTTCATTTCATGTTTTCTGGTCATGCGAGTATGTTATGCCCAAGAAAATATTTTTGTTTTTTTTTTTGTTATGTTTTCATTTATAAGCTTTTGTTTTATTAATGTTTTTAAAATGTGTTTATTATTTATTATACATGTAAAAGTTGTTCTTTTTAAATTTACTTGTATTATATGTTTTTTTTGTTTTGTTTTTAAATTATATCAGAAATAAAGTCAAGATTTTCACTACCCCCCCCCCCCCAAACTTAAACTCTGGATGCGCCACTGACATACAGGTATATTGGACAACTGTCACTATAACTAAACTTGTAAACAACTAGATTGAAATAAGATTGAAATGTAGACACAATTTGTCAGCGGAAAGAGCCCTCGTATCAATCAGATAAATCCATTGATAAAGTTTAAGATATTAAAAGTACGGGTTTTAAAAAATATAGAGGCCCTTTAAAGGCGAAAGATTTTTTCTATCGGTAAAAATAAAGGTGTTAAATAAAATACATGTGGCACTCAGGGACTGCCGCGGTAAAGCTATTGCATAGCATTTTTTATCAACTTATGCAATTATAATTATTTATTTTATTTATGCAGTATTTTTTTTCTTTGATATTAATTCAAGTAACACTTTTTGAGCGTGGTGACCGATAAGAAAACAATTTTTTCTTTTATTGAATAAATGAGAAGTTAATATTGTTTAAAATATTTTTATTATCTTACAATACATGTAGGTTATTCGGGAATTTTTATCATTGAAACTATAGGTTTATAGTAACTGAAATAAGATACATAAGTTTGAGACTTGATATCCTCTAAATATCTGGAAAATACCGCGTCAATGGTGGTTTCATATTTTGTTGTGGATTCTTGTGGATCATTATTCATTTTCAAATTCAGTTTTTCCGATATTGTGTCTAAAAGAGATAGAATCAGTTATGAGCAGTTAGCAGCTAGTCTACACGCATACATCTAGTCGCACGCACACAAACACCTTGCCGAAGTCTGCCGAACTGCAACAATGTTAGACGATGCACGGCTTTCAACGCCGCACCGCTGTGCCGGTCGGAGTGGGGGTGTTAGGTTTATTTTCGTTACGGAATTTCTTTTTCGAATATTCGATTTTTCGATTTTCATTTATTGAATAAATGAGAAGTTTAACGCCGCACCGCTGTGCCGGTCGGAGTGGGGGGGGGGGTGTTTTTTTTCGTTGCGGACGTACGGAATTTCTTGATTTGGTCGCCGCGCTCGAAGCTATGCAATAGCTTAAAAAAAAACGAAAATCGTCAGGTTATTATCAAATATCTCGGGAACCGGACCTGATGTTTTAATTTTGAAAAAAACAATAAATGCGCCTTTTCTCCATTTAACCAACATTGTATCTATACCTAGCTCCAAAATTCCCATATTGTTTTATTAAATTTTCGTAGTCCTGTATGCAGAAGGTCGTAAGTATGGCACAATAAGAAAAGTCGATAAATAAATATACATAACCAATATATTATCATAATATCTGATATACGTGATTTTTATATCTGATAAATAAAATATACCCACCAATCAATCTACAGATATATAATAAACACATATTAGAATTTGTTTATAGAAAATGCAGTTGTTATTAAAAACATTAAAAACGAAGTGCTATGCGCTTCACACCTAAGTTCACTTGCCAAGAATTCGACATAGATAAAATAATCTCATTCGTATACCTAAAAATACAAACAGATCGAAATTATAATATACGAGTCTAGACATGATCGATAAAAAATGGAAAACACCAGAAAATCCGTATTCAGAAAAAATCGCAGCAAAAGAAAGAAGTGAAAAATATTGAATAGAAAAGTGACGTAGTTAATAAGATAGAAACTATTTTTTGTTTTCTAAAATCGTGCCAAATTAAAAATCACGTTTCTATAATATGTTCCACTTTTCTGAAAAAATATTCGACTTTACATAAAATAGTGATGTATAAGTGAAAAATATGCCAGGTTTAACATTTTTCGTAAAATTATGGATATGTCGATCGATGTTAAGGCACACGTTAACGATATGTGCCATTTTAAATTTTAACAATGATATAAATTTAAGAGCACCCCCACGAAGGCAATCTAAACCGAACAAAATCGACGTCTATTGGAACATTCCGACTTTTCAATGTGAATCACAGAAGTTGAATTTTACCGCTCTAGCTGATAAATATGGCTTTATACAAAATCCAAACAATAAATTTTGGGGTAAGAACATAAATATTTTGTACGACCCCGGTAATTTTCCGGCAATTTTAAAAAATACAAGTACTACCGTTAAAAGGAATGGTGGTGTACCACAGGAAGGAAATTTGACTGACCATTTAAAAGTTTTTAATGAATTTTTGGATACGATGGTACCGGATCAAACATTTTCAGGTGAGTTTTTAGTTTTATAATAGTTATTTAAGCAATATCCATTTATCCATTCATCAGCAATTAGAATATTAAAATATTAGGTTGAAAAAGTTCTGAAGAAGCCCTGTTTTAGTCCTAAAGTACACCACTCATCATCAATTAGAAATAAGCTTAATATTATGCTGAATAAGTTCTACATGGCTTATTTTTCTACTATTGTTCAGTAGTTTAAAATTATGTGTCCATTGATATAGCGCTTAAACAGTTCGCTTATTCATTCGCTTCTTCAGAAATATGAACCAAGCTAAATGTAACGTTTATTTATTTCAAACAGTTTATTATTTTAATTTATTTACACTAAATACACTAATTTATTTATACTCGAATACTATACTAATTTATATGGACATTAAATGAGCCGTTTATTTTGAAAGTGGCTTAAGTCCATTTATACTTAAATTGAGATATCTAAGGCTTTGTGTAAATTTTGTTTAACTGCCTTAAATAAACATACTGATTATTCAGCTAGTGCAATTGTCCAAAAACTGAGGTAGACTTGTTAAATACCAATTAATTAAAATTACCTTCATCACTGCTTTCGAACATCATCGATAATGAATATCTTAATTTAAGTATAAATGGACTTAGGCAACTTTCAAAATAAACGGCTCAAATATATTGATCTGCTCACAGCGATGTCTCAACTTGAACTAACTAACTGCAACAGCAAAACAGCCTATTTATATAAAAATTTGGCGACTCCAAATGTTCTCGTATTTGTCAAAGCTTTCTACGAAAACTCTAGCCGTCTATCATTTTATAAACTCTAGAACTTTACCAGTAGACTGATGTTTCTTCTAATGGGCTTTGTCATGTGCTTATCTTTAGGCGTTTCGGAGGTTAATTAGTGTCTTTGAATATTCTTGGTAATTGAACAAGAGGAACAGAAGAGATTAGAGCATAACCGCACTGGTAGAAAATGGCTTGCATTACATAAAGAATTGATAATTCGGTTTTGTTATATAGTTACCACTTTCATTAGTTCAATTGATTAAGGAACTCGCATTTATAGAAAATCGTTTATTAATAATGCAATTCAAACCCTTTTATGAGTGAACCATTGAAATCAGGGCTTAAGTGGGGAAGGGATGATTATAATCTCACGCAAGCCATTTTCGACCAGTCCGGTCCTGCCCTCTATTCTCCGTTGTCGCCAGCGTGTCTGGTCGATGTGGTCGTTGAGTCTGCTACGAAAAAGCTTTAGAAGTGATGGAAAATGATGGAATCTGCGGGAAACGTTGTTGATTCTGGTCTCGGCTAGTCTAGAACGACTGGAAACACCGATAAAAAGAACTGGGTCGCCACATCTACATATAAATAGCGCAACTTTGTCGATATGAGTTATGTTGAGAATGGGGTGTTAATACACTGAGACTTAAAAGATCTATTGTGTCCCCTTCTGTCGCTGATACAGCAAGGAAATGTTTCGATGCCTATAGCGACCCTTGCTTGTAATCCAATCTTATCAAGGAAGTGTATGATTTAGAGTGGCTTCAAGTTAGGTAAATCTTCTTGTATTTGATAAGCTCCTAGGTATAGTGTCCTTTGATTATGGAGTGCTATACATTCAGTCAGAATGTGAATAGAGGTTTATCATTAATATTTATTTAACAAGTAGTAAAAGTAGACATTTGGCAACAAAATTTAACATATCGAGCATTTGTTTATCTACGTCGGACACGTCTGTCCTACTACATTTACGTACATTGAATCACGTGATCAAATATTTACATCTCAGATCTTAGATAAAAGAAACTCTCAGATACATCCGATGTGGATATTTATTCAAACGCAGCAAATTAATGTTAAATAGCCCACTTAAAGGTATTCAATTTTATGTATTTTTGTATAAATCACTCAAAAAATGTGAATATCACGATTTACAAACACTTCCAACTTTTATCTAGTCCACAAAATCAAATCTTTTTTGGAGTTAATCAATAAAACCTATTAGACTAATTGAACTGTAATCGATTGAAGTGCTAGAAAAAGGTGGGTCTTGTCATTAGATGTGCGAGCTACGGAGTAATTATCAGTGGATTTATTATTTTCTCATAGTAAAATCAGTATTCACCGTGTCCCACGTAAGGCGGGCATTACAACTTTATGGAGAATAAATTAATTTGTATTTTCGCCATTTTCTGAGTATACATAATCGAATATGCTCTTTTGAATTAAAATAAAATGAACTCTGTGCAACTTCCGGTTATACCGGAAGTGACCACTAACGTCGTTATTTTAAAGGGAATACCCCATATTTTTTTTTAATTTTAGATTCAGCATGAAATTCTGTAAACAACGATACCCCATTTGCCTATTCTAGTTATAGCGGATTTGGCGTTATTCAATTTTTTTCTACATTTTTAGTCGCCGGTAGACATTTTCTTAAAGTCGTCTATCTCAGGTACTATATCTATCAGATACTTAAAATTTTAACCAGAGGTAGTAGATGGGATGTACTTCTTGAGAATATTTAGTTATTCATTATTTGTTGTACGGGGTGTTTGCAAATTATTTTTAAAAATGAAATTTTTTAAACATAAAAATCTTTTTTATTTTAAATTGAACACCCTATATATTTTTTAAATTTTAGATTCAGCATGAAATTCTGTAAACAATGATACCCCATTCGCCTATTCTAATTATAGTGTATTTGGCGTTATTCAGTTTTTTATAAACTTCTATATGCCGGCAGACATTTGCTTTTTTAAATTTACTTGTACATCGTTTGTTCGACTGTGTGTTTGGAAATTATTTTAAAAAATAAATATTTTAAAAATGAAATTTTTTTTTATTTTAAATGGAAAATCCTGTATATTTTTATTTCATTTTGTTCAGAAAATTATTCTTCATTGATCTTCATTTGCACTATTAATTCCCTATAATTATCTCTCGCCAATTTTAAAAAAATTTAAATTTAAAATTTACGCATGCAACTACATAATATAGTATAGTTTTACATTTTAATTTTTTATCTTAGTATGCCGTGGAAATATGCTAAACAACAATCTGTCAACAAACTGAATTGTCATATTTCTATGTATTTAAGTTGTGTATTTTTTGCGTTCAAAATATGGAAAATATGGAAAATATTGAAGAATATACCAACCAAGATATTCTTAATTTATTTTACATTCATGGAGAATGTAATCGAATCAAAAGTAGAACCTGCCGCATGTTTAATGAACGATACCCTCATTTACCACCAATGAACAGACAGAAATTTGATAGAATCGAAGCTAACTTTTTGAATAATTTTAAACAAAACCCGGGAAGAAACCGTCAACATTATGTCCGAGATGAAGAAGTTAATCTAATTAACGTATTAGGGTATTTTACTGCGTATCCTCACGCCTCCATTAGAATGGCTCAAGATAATTTAAATATTAGTCGAGGGTCAATACAACGAATTTTAGCACTAAATAAATGGCATCCCTATGCACAAAGAAAAGTTCACGAGTTGCGAGATGGTGATCAAATACCTAAGACGAACTGAATTATGCGAATGGTTATTGGTACGAATTCAAGAAGATCCCGAGATTTTAAACAAAATTTTGTGGTCAGACCAGTCGAAATTTACACGTAAAGGGATCATCAATCGCAAGAGCAATCTCATTTCTGGGCAAACGAAAATCCACATTTTTATCGTGAAGCACAATTTCAGTACGAATTTAGTTTTAATGTGTTTGCAGTGATCGGTTTTGGAAGAGCTTTTTATTACATTTATAATGAAAGACTGACCTCAGAAAGATACATTAGAATTCTTAGAGAAGTAGTTGCCGACATTTTAAACCAGCTACCAAATAATAATTTTTGGTACCAGTTGAATGGTGCCCCAGCACATTCAACATACTATGTAAATCAAGAAATTACAGCACTCTTTGAAGACCGATGGATAGGTCCAAATGGTCCTTGGCTTTGGCCTGCAAGATCGCCAGATCTAACTCCTGTTGATTTTTTTATGGGGTCATATTAAAAATTTAGTGTACTCTACCCAAATTAATACTAAAGAAGAATTAGAGCAAAGAGTTCGGAATGCCTTTAACGAGTTAGATGGTGAAATGATTCGTAAAGCAACAACTAATCATGTTGAAAAAAGATTGTTAAAATGTTTAGAAGCTAACAGGGGGCATTTTGAACATTTGATAAAATGATTTTTTTAATCCATGTGCTTTTAATAAAAACTGTTTTTAGTTAGTATGTACCTTATCATTAAAAAAATTTAAACTTTTTAAACGACATATTTTGTTGCAGAAAACTGTAAATTTTTTATCCAACAGAAATAGTACCTGAGACAGTCGACTTTAAGAAAATGCTAACCGGCGCGACGACTAAAAATTAAAAAAAAAATGAATAACGCCAGTCGAAAAAACGATGTACAAGTAAATTTAAAAAAGCAAATGTCTGCCGGCATATAAAAGTTTATAAAAAACTGAATAACGCCAAATACACTATAATTAGAATAGGCGAATGGGGTATCATTGTTTACAGAATTTCATGCTGAATCTAAAATTTAAAAAATATATAGGGTGTATATTATTCAAAAAGTTAGCTTCAATTCTATCAAATTTCTGTCTGTTCATTGGTGGTAAATGAGGGTATCGTTCATTAAACATGCGGCAGGTTCTACTTTTGATTCGATTACATTCTCCATGAATGTAAAATAAATTAAGAATATCTTGGTTGGTATATTCTTCAATATTTTCCATATTTTCCATATTTTGAACGCAAAAAATACACAACTTAAATACATAGAAATATGACAATTCAGTTTGTTGACAGATTGTTGTTTAGCATATTTCCACGGCATACTAAGATAAAAAATTAAAATGTAAAACTATACTATATTATGTAGTTGCATGCGTAAAATTTAAATTTAAATTTTTTAAAATTGGCGAGAGATAATTATAGGGAATTAATAGTGCAAATGAAGATCAATGAAGAATAATTTTCTGAACAAA